ATAGCATCGTGACGTCATCAGGCTGGGCACTGCTGCATGGCTTTCATGGCTGGTGTTCTTCCTCTTTGGAGTTGCCAAAAGGCATACAAAACTCCAGCTAAAGTGTTCCCAAATTGGCTAACTGGAGTCTGTTTTTGTCTTCATTCTAAGCATCTAGAGATTTTCAGGAATGTCAAGAGACCAGTATGAGGCTGTTCTTGCTCATTCCTCTGGTGTAATCTTCCACTAGGTACCCCACTATCTCACTCTGCATTCCATTATGGAATTCTTCAGGGCTCTTTGACCATTTATATGACCAGGGCTCGATAATGGCTTTCCTGTCTGATAATGGTGGGTGATGAGCTCTTCAGAAATCCTTCATAAACTTTACAACACATTCCTGTGCACCATATAAAATTCCCAGTTTGGATAGTGGCCTGACCAGTACATTTGTTTGTCTCTTTTCCTGACTAGGGTTCCCTTTCTCCCAAATGCTCTGCTTTTCTGGCTTGTTATCCTTCCCAGCTTGCTACGAGCTGTCCCTCTCTTTCTTGTTCTACACCAAGATTCCATTATGCTTCCTTTTAGGAAGGAGATCGTGAGTGTTAAAACAGGCTCACAATCTGTGGCAAACCTGTACAAAGTTGATACTGTCCCAAAGAGAGAGCAATCAGCTTTATTCTTTCAACAGGAGAGTTTTAGCCCTTGGCTGCTATGGCATTTTGGCCTGTGTCACACAGGTGACACAGTTAATGTTCATTACGTCACTGATTATACCCAGCAATTGTCAGTAGAGTCAGAAATTTACCAAGGGCAGCCATGTAATGTTTGCAGTACAATTTCTGAAAGGCTGGGAAAGACTTCTACCACAGATAGAACCTAGACCTTGCACGTTCACATTAAACACAATGGAAGGAATGATCTGAAGCTCCTAATCAAGGTAAATATGCATATGCTATGCTGGTAATTTAAAAGATAAACAGCAAATTCCAGTCTCAGCTATAATATTAGCATTAATGTGGAATTATTCTATCAGTTCCTTCAGAGTTACTTGTTATTTACAGTTGTGTCTCTAAAATCAGATTGCAGGCCTCGGTCTTGATTTTGAAGATTGCACATACCAAATACCGCATTTTTTTTCTCTCTCACAGGGCAATAAATGAGTAACAAAGGAAGGTCATCTGTATCTAAGCTTACATGAACATTCACAAAAAGAGGCAGAGAAAAACATTTGTGTTTTGCTTCATCAAAAACCTTTTATCCCAACTGTTACTCATTATCAGAGAGCAATGAACATGGGGATGTGTAGAGCGGCAGCGTGCTTACCCATGACCTTGCTTCAACTCCTTTTATATAGAACCAAGTTCATAACCCATTTCTTAGATACATGTACTTCTTACTGTGAGCAGAGTACATCACTAAGTTCGTCAAGAAAGCTAAGGGATTTTTTTCCTTTCTTTACAGACAGGATGGAAACAGAGGCATTTTCTGAGGTGATCTGTGTACAGCACCAGTGATTAAACTGCTGGATGAGAACTCAGCTTCATACAGTTCCCATTCAGTTTTCTAGCATCAGGCTGGAGCTTTGCCTCTCTGCTGTTTCAGCGTTTGTCCTGAGGAGGACAAAGCTGTGCAAGGAGGAAGCTGGAGCAGTGCACCTATGCATGCATGTCCCTTGCTGCCCTAAGATACGTCCCTTAGCAAAAAAATATTTAAGACTTCCCCAATGGAATTAAAGTAATACAATTTTGTCATCCTTCACCCTAAAATAAGAGAAAATACAGGGACCTTTCGTATGCTTCTGGTTTTCAACTTTCCCATGAACATCAACATCAAATCTTTCCAGGGTCACCCTACCCCCATCCCTTATGATGCATTTAGAAAGGTGGTGTTTTCTTCCATACTTTGCACAATTGTGGAACTGGCAGTTCCTTTACCTGTATCCTGTACTGCTTGGTACAGCTTGGAAGCTTTGCTTAAAATTAGCTTTGCGGGTAATACCCAGAAGAGTTGAGATGCCGAGCAGAATAGCAAGCATTTGACAACTGTTATCCTGAAATCAGTGGAATACACGATGCCATGTTTCCAACCCTGCTACTGTACTCTAAATGAGCTTCTTAGAGCATAGACCAGCACTGGGCTGCCCACACCAAGAGTGGGCAGTCTGTGTGGTGGGTAGCAGTACATGCCTCCTCCTACACGGGAGCTTGCTCTCCTGTTACAAGCAAACCACAAGCTATGTGAATGTGATTAAGCAGTAGCACTTGGTACCAGCAGTCAGGGCCTGAAGCTTACCTTTCCTTAGAGTGTATGCAGAGTAAACTAGGCTCCCCTTTGAAATAACTGAGGCTGTCTTCACAGATTCCTTCGCTAAGATTCAGAAAGCTCTCAGGCAGTTAGAGAGTCTGGCTCGCACAAGTAGGAAACACGCAACTTTGCTCTGAAGGTTTTTAGCAGTCAACAGAAATAGCACTTGGTAAAGGTCAGCAACTCATCTTTCTAGACCTAATAACAATAACAGGGCCAGCAAGGTTGTTCTGTGACGATGCCCACAATGATTTATGACCTACAGGGGCTGTGTTACAGTAGGAGCAAAAAAAATCCGCAATACTAGTTGCAGCTTGGAGGAGTTAATAAAACCTGCAGCTGAGGGTAGGGAAGGCTACTCTGCCCTTCTTAGCTAATCCTTCTGTGTGGCTTTTAGCAGGTTACTTCTCCCATAGAGAATTGAGATGCAGGGAAGCCAGAGAGTTTGGTAAGAAAGCTGTGAAAAGACCAGGAAGCTCAGCTCCGCTTTCAATCAGTACTTGCAGTTACACTTTTATAGCCTGCAGCTAGTTTCTTTTCACATGTATTTTGTTGGTTGGGAAGAAGAGAAGATGACAAAATTAACAATCTGTGGACTGAATAACTTGGCTGGGGGAAAGGTAGGGCAGAGCTGCATGCTGGAAGGATTGCTTTCTAATTTTGTGCCACAGATGGACAGATGGGAAACTACTCCTGAGAGCTGAATGCAATGTAGAGTTGTTAACTTGCATCTTTCCCTAGTAAATGTGACACTGTAGCATCAGGAGTGAAAACTGAGCTGAAGAATTACCTCTTATCAATCAAATGACAAAAGCGTGAAGGGAAAAGATAATACCCCCCCCCAACCCTCCTCTTGCCAGCTAGACCATTAATGGGACTAGGATCTCTAAGAGGCTGAAATAACAATTCATCCTCTGCACTTAATCAGCATGGCTGCAGAACTGATGTGCATAGAAATGGAACTAAAGGAAGAACAGCAGCATTGACAGCCACGATGATAAAAGGATAAACTTGCCAGCTGTCACCAGCTGTCTTCCTATAACCCAAGTAACTGTCATTGAATCCTTTCTGGAAATGGGACATGCTCCACAGATAGCCTTGTCAGTCATGCTGTGTTTCTAAGGGTAAGTTCAGCCTCTGACTATGTCATAATTCTCTTAAGAAAGACAATAACTGGCTCCAAATGAAGGCTATAAACAGTCAAGAACCCCGACTTCTCTTCAGAGTGGAGACTGGCTAAGTAAATGTGCAACGCAGAAAAGCCTGTGTGGGAAGGATCCTTTGGCTGCGTTACACGGGCATATTTTGTGGCAGGAAACTGGCACCCAAGACAGCGAAAGCTACACTGAAACAACTCTTGAAAAAGCTGGGTTAACAGCCCTATCATGACTGCCAAATACCAAGAAAGGCCACTGACAGCTAAAGGGACAGCAAGTGTCAGTCTGCAAAACCCTTCCAGTGTCCAAGAGACAGCACAAGCTAAATACTACTGAACCTAGATTCCATGGACTATGTCTTAAGTCAAGACACAGCACAGAGGCAAGTCAAGCAGGCTGCAAGGATCAGAACAAGCAGTACTTCCTTCAGCAGTGGCTCCTAAAGCCGTTTCCACACTGGCACCACCTACTTTTGCTCACAGCAAAAGTTGCCATAGTCACAGCAGCTGTGTGGGGCTACCAGTTACTTGGTTTTAAAAGAAAGTTCTTATTGAGTGTTTTGTTTTACGTTTTTCTTCTCCTGTAGCATAAATGTTACTGGTAAACAGTAGAAAATCAAAGATCTGATCTGGGCTACGAGTGTTTTGTAGATGAACTCACTAGTAGAAATACATCATCATCTATCATCTGCACTAGTCATAGTTCCTTAGCTATACCGATTCTCTCCCCTCCTTCAAATAGAATTAAACGTTTGTTGTTCAAAACCTCTTTAACCGTTTGAGTGTCCTTCTTATTGGTTTGATCCCCCCTCGAGTCTCCAAGAAACCTCGTGAGAGGAAAGGCAAAAGCAGTAAAAAGAGAAATCGCTGGTGCTACCTGACGGTGAAGGCGAAACACTGCGCGTGATTAACGATTCGTCGGTGACACCTCCTGACCGACCGCGGCACTGCAAATAAAAACTGCGCATCGCCGAAACCGATGCACCTTGTCACGCGGAAAGTTTGGGCAACAAACGGAACGGAACTCGCGCCTGCGCAAAACGAAAAGCGCTTCGATCACGTGGTATACCCAGGGTACATGGCGACGAACTCGCGCATGCGCGATGATTGTACTGATTCTACTGAGTTCTGCTTTTCTGGGGTCAGTTTGGGAAAATCGTGTGAAATTCTAAAAAACTTCTCTCCGTGTTTTCTAGTTGTTTTTTCAACCTTGGTCTAAGTTTCATGTAGAAAAGGGCATAGAATTAGAACAGGGAAACTAGACTTTCTTGGGAGAGATGGAAGAAAAGTCTGCTTATTCCAGTTCTGCTTTTCTTGTCTTCCCTTAGACTGTCATTTTCTCTCACCTACTGTTCAAATAGGCAGCAATTAATTCCTCTGCTGAAGAGATTGCTGTACTAAGTGTCTGTCAAATTGATGCCTTCAACTCCAGATAGCACATACTTCTTAGTTACAAATTTCTCACAGGAAATTTTCAGGCGTGCCCATAAATCTCATCACTGTTTGGGAGAAGGTTTTCTCGTCTGTAACAGAATAGTCGTGGCATTTGCTATTGAATGCTGGTGGCAATCTAGTCAGAAGAGGACCCCGCGCTTCACTAATTTTCCCTTTTTGTCGTTCGGGGTGACTTCTTACCAGGGATGTTATTCTTGACCCCCCGGGGCAAACGGAGGCGTTCGCCTGGTCAGCGTCAGGAGCCATCCTAACTGAGGCCTCGGTGAGTGCTTTTTGTATGACTGGGCAGTGAAGCTTTGTGAATGACCTGGCTATTGCTCAGTGTACTCCTAATTAAAGTGTCTTTTACTGTGTGTTCCCAGGCTTCCTCTTTTCCTTCGGTCGCCGTGGATGTGCCGGACACCTCTGGCAGGACTAACCCTAGGGCTTTTATGTCCAACGTGCTGTGCTGTGTGCCTGCAGGTAAGAAAAGCTGGGAGTGCGGTCCCTCTGCTTTGATTGCTGTGCCTCTTTGGTAGTGATTTTGGAGGGGAATCGTAGAGCGATTTGGTTTGAAGGGGACCTTCAAAGGCCACCCTGTCTTCCGTGGGCAGGGACACCTTCCACTGTCCCCGGTTGCTCCAAGTCCCGTCCAGCCTGGCCTGGAACATTTCCAGGGATGGGGCAGCCTCAGCTTCCCTGTGCAGTGTGCTCTAATATCTCTCCACTGGCATCATGAAAAATGTCGTCAGCGTGTTTTGTTGGACGACGGGAAGCAGGACCGGGGTGAAAATGACATTCTCTTAGATGCTGGGACGAGGAGGACTCGTGCGGGCACCTCCAGAGACAGCGGGAATGGGAGCGTGCTGCGGAGAAGGAAAGTTCCAGGTGGTGGGTGCTGAGAAATTTGTCCTTCCCTTGCCCTGTGCTCTGCACTTAGCAATAGGTCAAGTGCAGAAGTTTCCTGGGGACCCTGGAAAATGATGCCGGGTCTGCTAAGAAAAGTGGGGCCAAAAGAGCAGGACCTGGGTCTGCGAGCGTGGGAGAAACAAGGGACGGGGTCATCCTCTGCCTCCAGGTGGGAGGGCAGCAGGAAAGGCCACGGACTAAAGCACAGAAGTGCCGTTCCCCAGGGAGCCCCTGCCCAGCACTGAGCTTGCTCCTGCACTTGCTGTCCCTTTCCCAGCGGAGCCGAAGCGTCGGGTGCGGGTGCCGGGGGGGATGGAGCTGCCGAGGACAAACTGGGAGGGTGTTTGCGAGGGAAGGGGGGGGGAGAAGGAGCTGCTGACGTGCTTTTTTTACTTCTTCATCCCACAGAATTGCCACGAGAGGAAATACTTCAGAGGGGCTTCCCTCCAGATAAGCCCTGAATATGCCGGGAGGTTTCAGCCGGGAGAAAGGAGCTGTGGAAGAAAAGCAGCCTAAAAATAGCCAGTGGAGATCATCAGGTTTTCCAGCCAAGAAAAACAAGGAGGGAGATGAGGGAATCGGGTTCCAATTCCTAATGATTTGGTGGGTGCAGGAATGCTTTCTGTGTGTTTTCCCAGTCCCTTTTGATTCCTGGGATGATTTTAAAATGATGGCTTTAGCAGTCAACTAAATTGGAGATGTTGTTTTTGAGAGGAAATGAGGCCAAATAAATGCAGAGTTTTGGGTCATTTTTTGGGGTGATTTGGGTCAGTTTTGGGTCGTTTTTTGGGGTGCTTTGGGTCAGTTTTGGGTCAGCTTTTGGGCTCAGTTTTGGGTCAATTTTTGGGGAGCACAGGGTGTTACTGGGGGTTGTTGGGGAGCGCTGGGGGTTATTGGGGAGCACTGGAGAGCACTGGGTGTTACTGGGGAGCACTGGGAGAGAAAATGAAAAATAAAGAGAATAAAAAATAAACGAAATAAAAAAGGAAATATAAAATACAAAAAAAAAATTAAAAAAATTAAAAGCAAAAAAGCTAAAAAGGAAATAAAATGAAAATGAAATAAAAGAGAAAAAAAAAAAAAAGAAACCCCTTCTTGGGTACCCCGTTTCCTCTCCTCCACCCCCCCTCCCTCCAACCCGTAAATGGTGGGGTCATCACCCCTAAAATGTGAGAAAGGGACCCCAAAATGTGGGTGGGGGAACCCCAGGGAGCCGAAAAGTGGAGGGGGAGCCGCAGCAAGAAACCGAAGCAGGGCGGTCGGGCGGGGGGGTGGGAGGGGTAGCCAAGGCGGCGGCGCCGGCGCATGCGCAGTCGTTGGCTAGACGCCGGCGATCACGTGGTAACTAAGGGCGGCCAGGAGCGGGACCGGGGACGCATGCGCAATGGCTCTTGTGCCGGTGCAGCGCTCCCTGCTCAAGGTAAAGGCCGGTTCCGGCGGCACGGCGGGACTTGCGGTCTCCCGTCTCTCCCGGGGTGTGTGTGGGGGGGAATAACATGAAGATTTTTGGGGTGAAAGCGCAGAAATTAGCGAGGGACGCTAATTTGGGTAAACTCGGTCACCGGAAGTAGAGAGCGACCGGATTGTTTTCGGCGGCGCACCAGCAAAGATGGCGCCCTCCCGGACCGGAAATGCTGCGAGGCCACCCCGAAAGAAAAATGGCGGCGCCGGTACCGGAAGTCCTCCAAGGCCGTACACAAAGATGGTGGGCAACGGCCCGGAAGTCCGCCAAGCCCACAGTAAAGATGGCGGCGCCAGGACCGGAACTTACCCGAGCCCACACTAAAGATGGCGGCCCCAGCCCGGAAGTCCGCCAAAGCCACACTCAAGACGGCGCCGCCAGGACCGCAGCTTAGCCGAGACCACACTCAAGATGGCGGCGAGAGGCCTCCTTGCCTCAGAGAGGCGTCTATCCTGTTGCCTGACCTCCGCCGCGACCCGGACCCCCGCCCCGCGCCCGCAGCACCGTCTCGCCGCGCCGCTTCCCGCTGTGCGGACAGGGCGGGGCGCTCGGCGGCGCCGGGCGCGGGCGGCAGGTTCGTGGGCGGTGGCAGGCACCGGCGCGGGCAGCCTCCTCTCGGCGCCGCGGCGCGCGAGGACCCCAGGCGCCAACGCCGCGCCGCCCGCTCGCCCCGCTCCGCTCCCGCTCCTGCTCCCGCTCGGTCCTGCCGTGCCCTGGAGATGCTGTCGGGGCTGCGCCGCCGCTTTTTCCCCCGGAAGCGACCCACGGCGGCAGATCCGACGGAGATCGTCCCCGGGGTAAGCGGCGGGGGCGCGGCCGCTCTTCTGCCTCTCCCGCGGCCGTCGGGCCGCAGACAGGGGAAGCGACAGGCAAGTTTCTCACCTCTGCGGAGAAACTTGCACCTGCGTGCCGCCGCAGAGCCGGGTTCGGATGTACCCTGGCATTGCACACCCTCCCCCCCCCCCCGCGGGGAGGGTCTGCGCAGCCTCGGGGATCCTGTCTGTGCTGCCGGGAGAGAGAAATCCTTTGGGAAGCTGGGGTGGAAACAGCAATTCTGTGAATTGCTCAGCTTTTCCTAGGGAAGGGCAGGTTTTAGGGAAGAAAGGCCCGTACTCGCGAAAGGCGCCGCGGGTCTCGCCAAGGGAGATAAATGCCAAGGCCAAATAAATGCAGAGTTTTGGGTCATTTTTTGGGGTGATTTGGGTCAGTTTTGGGTCAATTTTTGGGGAGCACAGGGTGTTACTGGGGGTTGTTGGGGAGCGCTGGGGGTTGTTGGGGAGCACTGGGTGTTACTGGTCCTTTTTTGGGGAGATTTGAGTCAGTTTCTGGTCACCTTTTGGGGTGATTTGGGTCAGTTTCTGTTCATTTTCTGGGGAGGTTTGGGTCAATTTCAGGTCCTTTTTTGGGGGAGATTTGGGACAGTTTTGGACCATGTTTTGGGGAGATTTTGGTCAGTTTTGGGGTCATTTTTTGGGGTGATTTGGGTCAGTTTCTGGTCATTTTTTGGGGAGATTTGAGTCAGTTTCTGGTCATTTTTTGAGATAATTTGGGTCAGTGTCTGGTCACCTTTTGGGGTGATTTGGGTCAGTTTCTGGTAGTTTTTTGGGGAGATTTGGGACAGTTTTGGACCATTTTTTGGGGTGATTTGTGTCAGTTTTTGTTCATTTTTTTAAGAGATTTGTACAGTTATGGACTTTTTTTTTGGGGAGATTTGTGTCAGTTTGGGGTCATTTTTTGGAGAGATTTGGGTCAGTTTGTGTTCTTTTTTTTGGGGAGATTTTAGTCATTTTCAGGTTTTGTTTTGTGGAGATTTGGGAGAGTTTTGGACCATGTTTTTGGGAGATTTATGTCAGTTTTGGGGTCATTTTTTGGGGTTATTTGCCTTAATTTTGGGTCATTTTTTGTTATGATTTGGGTCAGTTTAGGATCCTTTTTTGGGGAGATTTGCCAGAGTTTTGGGTTCTTTTTTGGGGGAGATTTGGGTCATTTTCTGTTCATTTTTTGGGGAGATTTGGGAGAGTTTGGGGTCATTTTTGGGGGAGATTTGGGTTAGTTTCAGATCATTTTTTGGGGAGTTTTGGGTGATATTTGGGTCATTTTTTGCAGAGATTTCAGTCAGTTTTTGAGTTCAGGTTTGTGCCCAGGCTGGCCCACCAACTGCACCTGAAAGTCAAAGAATACAGGCTTTCTTTCCTGGGGATAAGGGCTGTTGTTGGCTTTCAGGAATTCTGTGCTGAAATTGCCAATAGAAGTCCCAAAATTGAATACAAACAAAGATTCCTCCCAGACAAAAGGTGCCACCACAGAAAGCTCTCGCTAGCCATGGAGTCCTCAGGCTGGACCACCAATTGCACCTGAAAGCCAAAGGATATGGGCTTTCTTTCCTGGGGATAAGGGGTGTTGTTCACTTGTTTCAGCCCTGCACTGCAACTACCAGTCCGACTTCCAAAATTGAATACGGATTAAGATTCCTCCCAGACAAAAGGTGCCAGGACAGAGCTCTTGCTGCCCATGGAGTGTCAGGCTGGCCCACAAACTGCACCTGATAGCCTGAGGTTCAGTCCTTGTTCCCAACGTCGAATAAACAAACACCTTGCTGTTTAAAGATACAAAAGCCTCTGAGCAGTTTTTCCTAACGGGTTTTTCGGCATCACAGTCTAACTGTTACCAAATACTGCCACTGTAACCCCTAAACCGTCACCCAGCGCCAGATCCACACACCTCTGGAACACCTGCAGCAACGGTGACTCCACCACCTCCCTGGGTAACCTATCCCAATGCGTGACCACCCAGTTTTTTCCTAATTTCTAATCGGAATCTCCCCACTCTTATTGTAAGGCCATTTTCCCTGGTCCTCACTGCAAGACAGCGGCTCTTTCCCGGTTCAAACCTCGGCACAGCCCCCGAACCGGGCGCGGGTCCGTGGAAGCGCTTCCTGATTCTCGTTATTACATCACTCCACATCCCCCGTCGCGAAGCGCCCTGGGAGCCCCGGGGGCTCAGCCCAGCACCGCGGGAGGGTCCCGGCATCCCCAGGGCTCCCTCTGGGCCCCCCCGCGCCTCGTTCCGGTAGCGCCAGGATCACCCTTGTCCCGCAGCTCCCGCAGGTAGGACGCGGCCACGCCGCGCTGCCCCAGCCCGCGCCGCTCGAACCCCCCCCGAGCCGCTCCAGCTCACCCCGAGCCGCTCCAGCTCCCGCCGCGCTTCTCCAGCCCCCGCCATTCCGCTCCAGCCCCCACCCCCCGAGCCGCTCCAGCCCCCACCCCCCGAGCCGCTCCAGCCCCCAACCCGAGCCGTTCCAGCTCCCGCTGCCACCCCCCGCAGCGCTTCAGCCGCGCAGCCATCTCCCTGCGCCGGGCGAGGCTTCTCCCGGCAGGGAGGGGCGCCTGCCAGGAAAAGCAGGAACACAGCCCGTGTGTCCCTGGCAGGGAGGGGGGCTCTGAGGGACTCCGGGGGATTCCGGACACACCCCCCGGGCACCGTGGGGGACCTTTTGTACCGGGGATTCCTACCCTCTGTGAGCGGCGGAGCTGTGCAAGGAGGGGACTTCATGTTAATTTTGGGAGTTAGACCTGCTATTTCGTTGCTGGGCTCCGAAAGCAACCGACACTCTTTCCCCTAGGAAAGAAAGGCTCTAGCCTTTGTGAGTCAGGTGCAGTTTCAGTGCAGGGCTCCGGCAAGCTAACAAAACCCTTTCCACGCATATAGAAAGTTTTCCCACCTGCACCTGACACCCAAAAGCTATAGGCTTTCTTTCCTGAAGGGAATGGCTCTCATTTTCTTACAAGATACAATCCCAAATACAAATTCGAATACTAAATCAAATACCAACTACAATACCTGCTCTCATTGAGTCCTTTTCTTCGTCAGGCTCTTCACCCATCGTGATTTTTAAATCAGAGATGCAAACCAGGTGCTTCTGCTCCCAGAGCCTTTATACCTTATGGGATTGGGCTACTCCCTTTCCCCCGGGGCCTCATGGGAAGGGAGGTGGGCACGGCTAGGGGTATATTAACCCCAGCCTTTGCCCAGGGAGGTCATCCAGCAGCCGGGCTTCAATGGAAAAAGAGTTCTCCCATTCTTTCATTGAATGGGATTTCTCAAGCTATTCCTGCTTTATTGAAGCATCAGCTTTGGCATCCGAAGAAACAGAGCTATATATGGCAATGAAGAGGATTACACTCAAATGCAGGGTTTTTAAATTTAATAATTTTGTGTGCTGTGTTGGTGCTTTTCTAATTTGTTACCTTTTTTTCTTTTCCTTAGGAGCCTTGCATCTTTTAGGATGTCCCGATCATCTCAGCTGCAGTTTGGCTTTTTTTCACCGGTGTTATCCAGTCCTCAGGTGAAGCTGCTCTGTGTTGAAGATGGCTACAGACACCCAGTTTGCCAATAATCAGTGGAGAGTTACAGCCCAGAGATGGAGGGAGGGCTGGGGTGCCAGCTTAGGAATTGCCAGGGGTGTTTTGAAGGTAGGATGGGTGGAAAGCTGTGTCCAGGAGCCCCCTAAATGCCTGTGAAGGCATCCACTGACTCTTCAGATGTGCCACTTAAGTTTTCCTCTCCTTCACCCAGATATTCTGTGCGATTTCAGCTGCAGTCTTTGGCTGCAGGCAGTGACCCTGGGTGGTTTGCCTAAAGAGAAAGGAGACTCTTTGAGCTCTTCCAATCTGTCTGGGTGACTTTGGTTAGGGTTTCTTTACCATGTCAGAGGAACAGGGTGTAAAGGAGAGTTGAACAGAACAGAGGCTAGAAGAGCAAAGCAA